TGTTCAAACTGCCACATTTTCGATTTTCGCCACTCGCATTTAACTGCAATTCACAATAGAGGCAGTAGTTCTGCTTACACTGTTTGCACACAACTGTCTCATGCTGTGACGAGAGATGAACTGACAGGGCATCATATCGTGCCTCAACCTATCCGCTGTAGTGCACTGCAACGACCATTTCACGAACTTATTGACTATGGTAGTATACAAGGTGTCCAGGATCCGTTAGGACTCCTTTTTTTTTTTTTTTAATTTTCTCTGAAAAATATAAATTCTTGAAGTTTCAGCTGTGGCTGTCTATAACTAGCGTGAGCAGGAGGTTCGCTCACGAAGTTCTTCTTTTCCTTTTCTTCCATCCTGAATATGGAGGCGATACGTTCCTCCGAAACGTCGGTTAACACAATATCTACACGGCGCCACATCCAAGAAGAGTGCTTTCTTCATAGTCACCGCCGTGAAAACCTCAACTCTTACGAGAAATATAATGTTTTTCATTAGAGACTCAGAAATTATAATATACACGTACATAACAATAGAATCAAAACACGTGTTCTTAATTTTTAGGCCTAGGGAACAAGTAAACAGAGGACTTTTGAGAAGAGAGTGCAGGAGGTAATAATTTGGCCTATAAATTTCAACTCTTTATAGCAAATATTTCTGACTCTGGGTTCATACTCATGATCTTCGAGGCTAAGAAATGATGTATAAAACTTATAACATAAAGGTGAACACTCAGTGAAATCGCTTATAAAATATGGTGTGAAATTACCGACATTTCAGTGAGTACTGGATACAGATCACTTACACTCTAGTACTATTCCTCAAATCTGATACAAAAAAAATAGAAACTCAAATTGTGTTTTAGAAGAAAATATACAATGGCCATCATTTTTAACCTTAATTAAAATTTATATAAATCACAAAATTATAGAGATATCTGGAAATGGATTGCATTTTTCGAAAGAACCGCTGAAAATTTCGTGATAATTGATTTTGCTGCCAATATTGGCGCTGCTGAAGGGTACGCAGCTGACGAACGCAAAATGGCAGTTTTCTCCCCGCAAACGGTCATATGTATGTTGTGGTACTGGGAAATAAAATCAGTTATTCAAGTGCAAAGAAGTTACCGTCTGGAATCTGGCCAGTAAGAGCCTTGAAGACAGTCCATCAAGCGGTGGCTGGAACAGTTTCAAGAGACAGGTGATATCTGCATAAGAAGGGCGTAAGCAGGTCTTTAGTAGACGCTAACAGTTGAGATAGCCCCATAAACTTTTCAGTGTAGCCCGCAGACGGCACACTTTCAATAATACAGTGCCCCCACCCCCCACACACACACACTGGGCCCTTACAGTGAGAGAGTCTGAATAAGACTTTTAAGAACGGATGGACTGGGTGAGACGGACAATCCCTTGGATTTTTTCTATTGAGTCTGTGTAAAGGATTGGGTATTACGTCAAACGGTTGCTAATGTCGTTGAACTTCGTGCCCGAATCAACAGTGCAGTTGCTTCTGCGACATCCCAGAAGATGGAAAGCACGAGGCGTGAAATCGAGTACCGCCTGGACATTCTGCGAGCTACAAATGGCTCTCACAGTGAGATATATTCAACTTGATGAGTTTTTTTAAGTAAAGCAAACTAATTATCTTTATCTCGTATATGTGTACTTGAACGTGGTGAATAAATTGTGAATACTCTGTAGTCAGTACAGCGACTGGCTAAGGGCTGGATCACTGAAAGGTCAGAGTTCGGGTCCCGATAGGTTCAAGTACTTTCTTTTTTCCACGTCATCCAGACCGACTCTGGGGCTCTTTCTCAGGGTGTAAAGCGGCCGGGGCACCTCCAACTAGTGCTGAGACAAAGAAAATGCGATCTATATATCCACTCCCACATACGCCTTCATGATGTGCTTAATTAGTTAAGCACAGGGATAACTTTATACATTTCTTTTTTCTTAATGGTACTGGCAGTAGCTCATATCATACACAGGGCTTCAGTGGTGGGATTTTCAGTGAAGAACGAGTTGGAAAATTTTGGAGACCTTGGCCCAAATTGAGGTATTGGCACAGAATTTTACCGGCTGAATTCAGAAGTACCAAGAACTACAATCATAGTACGCGATCTTTGGGTAGAGATTTCAACATGGGATCTTCCATCTATGATGCAAGAATAGCGTTAACTCGACTGCGAAGTCCGAGAACGTAGAGTCACCATCATTGAACTCCTAAATATTCATGTAGCACGAATGGGAGAGATGAGGAATGCGTATAGGATATTGGTGGGAAAGCCAGAAGGAAAGAGACCACACGGAAGACCAAGGCGTAGGTGGGTGGACAATATTAGAATAGATCTTAGAGAGATAGGATGGGATGGTATGGATTGGAATGGTCTGGCTTAGGATAGGGACCAGTGGAGGGCTCTTGTGAACACGGTGATGAACCTTCGGGTTCCATAATATGCTGGGAAATTCTTGAATAGCTGCAGAATTGGCGGCTCCTCCAGAAGGGCTCAGCTCCATGAGTAAGTAAGTAAGTAATAAATGTTTAATGACTTCATTAATAATGTAGTAGTCAGAATGTACTAAAAGCAAAGATTAAATTATTTGAGCATATATACTATACTAGACTTTTTCATATTATTAATCAGTTTCAAACTAAATAATAGCATATTCAGTAATATTGCTTAAGAATTGCTTCTTACATTTCTTCAAATATTATTTATTCTCTATCTTTTCTTTTCAGAACATAAGGGGAGACCTCAACATGGATGAGGCACCAGTATTGGAAACATAATATTGGAATTCTAAAGCAGAATGAATGTGAGGTCTCTGTCTACTGTTTACTTAAAAGACAGTAATATTATACAACAAATTACATCTGAATTGCTGGTTTTTTGGTCTTTGCCCATTGTTCGGTATTCTAAAAGTTAGAAAACACAACATTTCGGTAACTGGATCTGTTTCCGTCCTCAGGTGAGGGGAAACACAACCACTCTGTTGGGTCCATTAGAAAGAGCTAACCTCAGTCACTCAAACAAATTATCCGATCACGTGCTACGTTTATATTTGCGTTATTCTGGTTAGCTCTGGACCAACTTCCCATAATTTGGTCTTATGCACTGAACATAAACAAAGCATGGATATCTTATAGTACTAAGTAAATGTTTCATATGGCGGAAAGAGAAAGGCATCTTGGCTCTTACAGGCATTTCACTAACCACCATGCGAGGCCAAATCAACTCCTAAAGCCGTGTGCCTAGACGGGTGTCTACATGCCATAATAGTTTTATATTGTAAGGTGGATGGCCAGAGTGTTGCTAGGTAACGGACTGGTAAACACACGCGATACACGCTCGCAATAATGGAACAAAGAGATTAAGCAACCCGCTTCTAGGCAACGGCTCAGTAAAGGGACTTCCGCGAAGGCGCAATGACGTGACACTGAAACAGTGCTAAATATCGTGCGACTTGCTTTCTGTGTTTTCCTTGCGGCGCCCATAACGAATATCTGTTTAAGATTAAGTCAGAAACCCGTGTGGAGTTGGGGTCGAATATTTCCGCTGTGACCCTGCGAGTTCTAGGAGGTGACGATAAGGGAATTCTCAAATCTGAGACGGCAAAATATGATCGCGAGTCCAAAGGGACTCAGACCCGAGAAAGACTGCGATGGCAAGGACCAGCAACATATATAAAAGAGAGACCCGTCCTCTCGTCAGAGATTATATCTCGCCATGAGCCCCAGATGGAGCTCGACACCAAGATTTACTGACTGACTAATTAATGCTGTTCGGAATTACAAGATCAAGTAGTGTGCCGATCAGTTAAGAGGAAAGGAATGTAAGCAGGAAATTTAACACAATTTTTACACAGGTTCCAGTGATTTAACACCACTTCTCTTTGTGTATTAATGCCAGATGTGTTCTGTAGCTTGCAGAGAATTAATTTAATATAAATCTTCTGCTCCATAAGAAAGATGCTGCTTTTGGCTGATTCTGGGGCCATCTAGGTTCCTAACAAAGGGGGAGAGGGGACGTTCCTCTTTGCCCTGTAATAAACGGCCCGTCGCTCCAGCGGCGTGCATTCTTAACTTGAGGCCCCTGCACAAGATGATTAATTGAATGTGTGCGACTGTGGCATGAGAGGAGACACGGAACAGAACAGACGAACCGCATCCAGTCCGCGGGAAGGAAACACTTAAAATAATCTGTTTAATGAATACTACAAACTAATCCATTAATGATAAGGGTAAGGGAAACGGTTTCACGTTGCTTAATTCAGCACAATTCCATGAACAAATCTGAATGAATGAATGAAGGCAAAACTCCATACATTCTTAACCTTAATTCTATCTGTAACTGAGTGGTCAACTTCACTCCTCGGAGACGTTGCCCCCTACTGGCTGAGTAATCCCGGTTCCAACTCGTTATTAATGTTAAAATGTATAATTATTAAGGCGTTAGTTCTAGTGTGTCTATGTTACTGCAAGAGATAACAATAACTGTACACAAATTGTGGTTATTTCTTCCATGGCACATCTGAAACGTGCTGAGACTTTACAGGATGAACGCTTTGCAGCGCAATATTACAGGGGAAACGGTGCCGATGGCTGTATGTTTGGCAGGACTGTTGGCAGCAGAAGTGGTTGTGATCACACTGAAGCCATGACGTCACTACCTCCTGTATTTAAGTGCGATGGGATTTGAATGCGTGTGTTTGCTACAGTAGGGCATGATTGGGCTCCAAGCAGGCTGGTGTCCATCCTTGCGACATATATATACACCCTCCCCTTGTTTTGTGTGTGTGTGTGTGTGTGTGTGCATGCGTGCGTGCGTATGTTCCACCCCGTCCCTTGCCCCGGCCGCTACATCATCGTCAGCAACAGCAGTGCCGGCTCCACGCTCCGTCTCTTTCTGGCCGGGGCGGTGTTAGGCGGGTGGTCTGCAAACAGGGGATCAATACTTCGAGCTTGCGAGGGCTGGGCTGGGACCAGACAGGCTAACTGTAACTGGGGGTGCGTTCTGAGCCCCAGCCCAAGTCAGCTCTATGCGCAGGGCCGAAACTGGGAGGGAGGGAAAGGTACGACGGTCCTGATGGCACACTGACGTCGAGAGGCCCGAAGAAGAAGAAGAGAGGAGAAGCCGTTACCCGTGAACCTCAACTGGCCCTGGGTATTCAGCTTGTGGGGCCCAATCGCACCACTCCTGGTCATCGCTTCCAATGCAGAAGGAACTGCTTGCCAGCGGGACAGTGATGGTGAGAACACAGCCAGCGCGGTTGCTGTGATATGAACCGTCCGTGCTGATAGCCTACCTTGTCGCAAGATGACGGGACGGAGGTGTGCGGGCTCGGTGTCGCAGCGTCCGCCACAGCCGTGTGCAGTGCTCCTCATTGTTGTCGTCTAGACTGTACCTACATACATACATACATACACACATACGCGCGTTCGCCACATTTTAGGAGACGAAGAACACAAAGATGCGAGGCGTCACAGTGATTCAAGACGTACCCGCCTCCTGGGGTGTCATCATGCTGGCGGTCACGTCAGCGATTCTTCGGCCCGGCAGTCCCGGGCCCTTCGCTCAAGCAGCGTAAGTACATAACTAATCCTGGAATGCGATCCGTAGCATGCTCGCAGTTGTAGACAGGTCAGCCCCGAAGGAAGCAAATGTTTGTTTTATTGTGAGACGTCATGGTTCCAGCTCTGATGTAATCAGAAGTTCACATTCTGCCGCTTATCGATCATTTACTTTCAGCATGACAGACAAGGCGGTACATATGCCATTGACAGTGACAAATAATGGCAAAAATGTAGTAGAATATCCAGTACATGTATCAAAAGTGAAAAGCATCTCAAATAAGCCTAAGTTAGGTTTAACAATGCGCCAGTCCTGTGCATTTGTAGCAAGTCACAATAAGAGAAGTCTGTACCTGTATGTTGATCTCTGTTACAAGAACTCGGTAATATGTTACCTTACAGGACCAGAAAACAGACGTAAAAGGGGTCGTGTTAAATAATTTCGGTGATTATCAAATTTACCATACATCATAAAATTTGAGGTGTAAACAAAAGAGAATGTGCGCTCAGTTTTACATGTATTGTCAATATCGGGATTTTAGTAGAGTTAAAAAGATTCGACTAAATTTTCTAAAACATTCAGAGCTACATTCTGGGCCTACTGTCATTTTCCGTAAATAATTTAGTATATCTAATTTCGCACAGAGTTTCATAGAATCAATATATATGCACCTCTAATTCCAACTGTCAAGCACTGTGTAATATTAAGGTATTTGTGTTCATATTCGCTTGGCATGTATTTGTGAATACAATATTAATGACAGCGTGGTAAGCGTTAAAATAAAGATTATGATGATGATGATGATGATAATAATAATAATAATAATAATAATAATAATGCCATTTCCAGCTGTGTTCTCTACCTCAGGTGTAGCGTGGGGTACAGACAATGTAATTCGTCTATCTCATGTTGATCGTTAGTGTTATCGAAACACCCCCGCACGTGTGGTAAAAGTACGGGTGGGTGGTGGGCCAGATGTTCCCCTCCTCCTCTTACATCACAAATGGTTAAGTCCGTATTTACATACCAACCGCCATGTTTGTTCTGAAATCCAACTATTATTTAAATTCGTACAAGTAATTGCTGCAGAGGAATTCGATGTTTATGCTGTTACTCGTAATGAAATAATGCAGAACACAGAGTGGGGGAAAAAAATGGGGTGACGCTGATAAAACGATTCGAGATGTACAGCAAAGAGCGTGTGACAATAGGAAGCAAGGTAATGACGTCACATATATTCTTTAACGATGCGCCAACGAAAAAGGCTGTTGGGGGGCACACCCTTAAATTTACAGATTTTGATATTTGTACTGAGTGATAATGAAAGGGGCTTCATGAGACCAGACTGCGTACATATTGCATCATATAGGAGATGATCTGCCTAAAATCACTTATAAAAATATGAATGATATTTAGTGTTACACAAATGATGACCTAAATTATCAGTATATTGCCAGTAGAATATTAATAATAACGTGAAAATTAAAGTAAAAGCAAAAGCAAATATATATAAAAAAATATATATATATACACACACACACCGTGTTGATATGACCACAGGGCACAACGGAGAACTGAACATAACAGTGTGGTTAGTAGCTCCTCGTGAAGCCCTCTTCTCTCTAATGACATAATTCCATGAAGTAAAGTCCTTCCGGAGAAGCTAATAGTCGCTCACTTATTCAGTAAACTAGGCCACGTTTTGCAGAAAACGAAAGTGTATTACAGGTGAACTAAAGCCAGTGCCTCTCATGAACCACATGAATACAGTCTGCAACCGACATATTGCTTTAAGACCAACATTAATATTAGGATACCATCCAAGTGGCCTTTTCGCTTCAGAATTCCCGCCAGAGAATCTGTATGCATCCGTCATCCCTTCCGTTTGTGCTTCATGTGCTACCGTCTCACCCTTCTTACTTGGATCATCCTACTATTGCCTGGTGAGACAGACAACTTAGGAAGTGTCTCATTAAGCAACTTTATCAAGCCTCTCGTGTCTTGTCTTCTCTATTAGATCCAGATATATTCCTGCCTTTGCCAGTAACATATGTAAAAAAGTAAAGGTACCCCTGTAACAGGCCGTGAAGGCCCGTAGGGTTGTGAGATGTTGAGGCTCCACTTCATCTAGACAATCGGCTCAAAGATGTCGGTAAGGTTGTCAGCCCTACGCGTCTGCCGCACTTTACTCTTCAGGAAAATTATTTAATTAATTCCTGGTACTCATTTCTGTTAGAGGCTGAGTCGACCCCAGGGCCATAGTGCGGCTAGAAGGATTAGGTCAATTGAAAAGAATCCAATGACCTCATCGGGACTTGAACCCGCTACCTTCTGGCTTACATATGTTCATCCCTAAATGTGAGAGATCGAATTGGATACAATCACAAAATTACAGGTAAAGGTATATATTTTTATATTTTAATTTTTACGTTTGTAGGCAGGAGACAGGAAGACAAATGTTTCTTAACTGAATGAAAGGAATCATTCACCGAAAATAGTTTGCCCTTGAAATTTACACAAAGACAATTTTCATGGGTTTCCATTCTCCTCGAACAATTTTTGGAATCAAATTTGGATATGGTTTTGTGTGTATTTTTTTATCGCTAGTGGGGTGGGACTAAGTCCCTTGTACTGCAGCCACTTCTGACCTATTGTACCAGCCCAAGATGATAGGTGAGGGTGATTGCGGAGCAATTGGTGAAATGAAGATTGGCAGGGGAAACGGAAGTACTCGGAGAAAACCTGCCCCAGCGCCACTTTGTCCACCACAAATCTCACTTGACCAGACGCGGGATCGAATCCGGGCCGCCGCAGTGGGACCAGATTTTATGACGTTACTGTAAACGGGAAATATTCTCAGCCAGTCATACGAACCTTCATATTACACTATGCTAATTTAATATTTGACAGATGTTAGGAGACTGTGTTTCGACATGCTATTTATTCACTTATAGATTAGCCGATTTTTTTAGAGTTAAATAATGAGCGCTAGACTTACTGCTTTCGATGTAAGTATTCAACTTCTTTCATCGATTTGCCAACTGCAAAAAAACAATGTACCCAATGTTTCAGAAACACAGCTATAATAGGGATATATACACAAAGTTATAGACCAAAGTTTTCTTATGTAAGATTTGAGGCTTTCACGGCGGTGACTATGAAGAAAGCAGTCTTCTGGGATTTGGCACCGTGTATATGTGGTGTTAACCGACGTTTCGGAGGAACGTATCGCCCCCATCTTCAGNCATATACACGGTGCAAAATCCCAGAAGACTGCTTTCTTCAAAGTTTTCTTAATAGGGCGCTTTCATTGCATACAGTATATAAGAATAACGCATAATGTAGCTGTTGCTTTTTTCTGTCCATCGATCCAAATAAACTCCTATTTTGAACGAAACAAAGTCAGAGAATTATCTTAAATTTTACAAAAATAAAAATCAATACAAACATCCAATATTTTCCAAAGATTTTTTTTTTGCCATAGCGTACATAATTTCAAGACCTTATATCATATGTCAGCAGTGCTACGTATGTATTAAAAGTTAGTGTGCCTGACATTTTGTATTACGAATTGCAGGAAATTTAAAAGTAGGATACTGCCGTAGCCGCCAATGTCATAATATCCATACCAAACGTTATCAATACTCGTCCAACTGTTCTCGAGTTAAAGCTTTCGGGGGGACAGACAGACAAGGAGCGCACAAGAACTGCTTCCCGTCCCTCTCTGAAGTGCGCTTGTGAGACTGAAGCCCGAAATGACGGGAAAGACAAAATAATCAAGCAAAATTACGGTACAATAGTGCGCCCTCCTCTATTCTTTCTCTTACTGAAACACAGCTCCAAACATCACCAAACAAAGGCCCTGGGCAACTTGTTAACCTAAAAAAGAGATTTTAGACGGCAACAAGTTTTTCAGAAATTCATCCCATGTAATGCCTAAGTTAAGAATACGTGAATCCATCGAGCTATTCCTGCACGCTTCTTCATCGCTTGATGCTAAACTAAGCATAGGGACAATCCTACATGTGCTATAATAATACTGCAACTGTTTGATGATGATAGAAAAGCACGTGCCATTTATGCTGCATGAATCGAATGTCTGTAGAGCGCCGAGGGGTTCAAAATGTTTAGATTGTGTTCAGGTGCCATTAACTGAAGGTATTGATGTAAGCAATGGTGAAATTTTCCGAGGATATTACCTAGTATTCATTACGATTCTTTTTTGCTATTAGGCATGCAAAAAACATCATCATCATCGTCAGTAATCTGTCAAGACGACAGGTCCACAGTCTCTTCCAAAACAATTCCTCCACTTAATGCGATCTAGAGCTTTCTCCTTCAAATGACAGTATCCTCTTCTGTCCCCAAGGTCATCCAGCATCTTCTTACGTCTTCTTGTCACTTCTATCCGCCCCTCTATCTTTCCTTCAATAACTTCTTTTAGAAGGCAGTTTCTGAGTAAAACATGACCAATCCAATTAGCCTTCCAGGTATGCAAAAAAAAATGTCTTGAAAAATATTTTGAGATGATAACACAAGTTTCAAAATTAATTAAAATTTAGTTATTTGAATTCCCATGTTTTCACATGTAGATTGATAACGTGCCCGCTGTGGACTATAAAAGCATTTTAACTGCCCAGTACAGGAAAACAGTTACCTAATCTCGGTCTAGTAATAATGTAGGTAAAGTTTGTTTGGACACTTGCCTTGATTCGAATAGAAACCACCTGATACATTTAAGATACTCGATCTACAGTCTTTACGCAGAGAGAAATGGCAGGATTTATCTACTCTGTGGAGACGGCTACGTAAAGTTATCTTACTTCGTTTGTCTATAGAGCTCCATAAAATACATATTTCTTCTAAGTAGGGACGAAGAGGGAACCTAAATCTGAAATATAATGTGTATTCTTTTTTCTTGAAAATGGATAACATCCAAATGGTTTCCTTCCATAATGTATTTAAATTTGCGAGATGGAATTGCAAATTTGAAGGTATTTCCCTTTCGATCC